TGTGAGGATCCAGTCACCGTTTTTAGCAGATGGCAAAACCAACAGAGGGAAGAAAGCACCTTCCTTCTGGAGGCCATTTGAGCACCCAGCACAATGGCCAGGGACAAACTAGTCATCCCCACCTGAGGGCCAAGGAAGCTGCCTTCTCTACAAAAGAACCAGAAACAGAGGCCAAGGCCTAGTGCATGAACCAGCGTGTCTGCCCACCCCCGCTTTCTCAGATGAAAGTCCAATAACCAAAGCAGCAGGGCCCTGGCTGTCACAGTCTAGATTCTGTTCTGTGTTATATTTTATTTAGTTTAGCTTTTTTCTTAGAACTGGGGCATGTGACAGAGATGTAGTAAGCCCGAGGGCTCTGCCTCAGCCCAGATTGGCACTTGGAGCAGCCCTTCATGTTTTTGCCTGAGTTTCAAGGGAGAAGAAGTGGCAGCCAGTTATTTGAGAACCACCCCACCCAGAGATTAATTCAAGATTGCTTGTGGAGGTGAGGTCATGGCCAGAATGACCACTAGTTATCTTCCAAATTACTGAGCGAGCCCTATTTTTCTGAAAGTCGGTCAAAGGTTTTGGCATCCATGCTTGTGTAACACGAATATATAACTCTGCCTCTGTGTGTCCATGTAGAGAAAGGGAGAGAAAGATGAGATAGAAGAGGAGGAAGGGGCAAGGAAGGTAAAAGGAGAGGGAGAAAAAAGATTACCCCTGAGAAAGAGAGGAGAATAAGGGGTTTCAAAGAATTGGGGGGAAAGAAAGTTAGGGAAGTCAGTAGACAGAAAAATAGAGAAACAAACACAGGGTCATCTGGTCACTTTGCAAAGTAGTGATTTTCTTGTCACTTTAGACTTGCAAAGGCAGAGCAGCCTCTGTATTAGTTTTCTATTGGTGCTGTAACAAAGTATCATTAATTTAGTGACTTCAAACAATGCTAATTTATTATCTTAAACCTATGGAGGTCAGAAGTTCAAAATGAGTCCAAAATAAATTTTACCAGCCTAACATCAAGGAGGGCTGCGTTCTTTCAGGAGGCTCTGTGGAGAGTCCACTTTCTTGCCTTCCATCATCTAGATGCCTATGTTTCTTAGTTCACGTCCATTTCCAAAGCCAGCAATGGTTGGTCAGTAAAGTCTTTCTCACATCACATAATTGGCAACCTTAATTCCCCTCTTGTCATGCAAGGTAACATAGTCACAGGTTCTGGAAATGAGGGTGTGGACGTCTTTGGTGGGCAATGATTCTGCCTACCACACTCTTTTATTAAGAATGTTGTAAAGTGGCAGGATCTGAGGCAGTGCTTTTAAAACGAAAGTCTTAAGAAATGGAAAATGAAAAAGAGCTATTTCTTAGGAAAATTTTTGAGGTGGGTAAAATCCGTTCCCTAGGTAGTGTTTGAGCTTCTGCCAGTGTCTGCCTTCCCTTCTTGGCACCTCCACATCTGGCTGGGCTCATACAGCTATGGGCTCACCAGAGTATCCTGAGCAAAGGCACCCTTGGGTCTGCCTGACCTGGGCGTGCTCTTTTCCTCTCCTGCTAATTAAATGTAACTGTTCTAACTCTCATAGCTTGTATGGAATTAAATGTATGAGTGCAAAGAATTCGCATTCATTTGACTCTAATACTTTAACCTCCTAGAGTGACAGCAGAAGACAGGTTTTTGAATGGGTGTTGGAGAAAAATATCTATTGGAGTTACTTATATCTACTAATTGTAACACATAAACCTGGCCTGCATAAAGCCAGACTGGTTTAAAAGTTCAGGGCCATTTGGACTCAAAAGATAGCTTGGTATGTCTACATTAAGAAATTATTTCATCATCTTATGAGGGTAGTAATTTATAAGACATTTAACCCTGGTATTGCTATAAAAATACAATTTTATCCTTATGCCTTCCTACACCTCAATATGGATGGTGATAAGAGACTGTGATGTTTTGTGTTTCCAATTGTTGTTTGGAATGGAAATATATACTTTTCTCTGAATCTTATTATCCTCCTTTTCAAATAATACTGTACCAGTACTAGTACCACAAAAGCTAGAGGGAAAAGAAAAGAGCTTGATATTCTGGCCTCTTAAGAATCACTGATACTATAATCAAGATTAACAACTATCTTTTCAGGCCCATTGTGTCTCAGGAATCTCATCAATTATAAGTGGATAATCCCCTATAAATAGAAGCAAATGCCAGAATAACAACATAATATTGAAGGATGAGTTTGAAAATGAATAGCCCAGGTTCAGGGTAGGAAGGGTAAGGAATGTGCCTTTTTTCCCGCTTGTCTCCTTTGCCAATTGAGAATCAATGGTGAGTAGTCAGGGAAAAGGCAGAAGATCTGGATGGTCCATTCACCTCTGAGCTGGAATTCTTTCTCAGTATCTATAGGCCCATTATCTGGAGGACCAGATCTATGGATGAAGGCAGCATTGAGCCATATGGGAAGGTGATAAGCAAGACTGGCATCTATAAAGCTTTTAAAGTAGGCAACATGCTAATGTCACAGGATAAGAGTCAGTGGTGAAATGTCAAATCCAGGTGAGATGGGAGTGGGTGTGAAGACCCCTGAATGTTGAAAGCAGAAATCATGAAGTCTTCCTGTAAAAGTCCCCATTGTGAGGTTGTCAAGGTTTAGTAGCCGAATGGCATAGAATGAAATAGCCTACACGAGACCTCTTTGATTTTTTAAAATCACGTTTGTGCTTCTAACTCTTAGGAAATGGAGCAAAGAGAAAAGGACATCCACTATCTGGGATAGTCACACAATGTTGCTTGGCGTTCATTTCTCTTCTGGAGACTGTCTCCAAGGGTGACTCTGCTAGGATAACGTTCAGCATATCAGACTGCATGTTGGAAAATACCATGCCTGGTTAACCAGAAAATTATTGCAGCAAAAGTTTCCAGGAAAAAAAAATCAAGTAAAGGAAGCCTAGGTGCTTGTGAACACACCCTCACTTCCATATTGATTAACCCACTAAGTTTCAAAGCATTTTCTAGGCGAGCCGCAGACACGAACCTGTCAGAAGGCAGGCCTTGACACAGACTGAACTTGAGCATATGGTACTTAGCAGTGTGTTCAGCTTAGGGAGAGTGGAAGGTAATAGGGCCTGATAATTAAAACAGCACATTTGTTTATAGGCATAACCTGATCTGGGGCACACTGCTAAAAATTTTAGCAAGCACATGTTTCTTTCAGGGCTAATTATCTATCTGAATTTAAAATATATTGTGAATTTTTTCTCTCACTAAATAGGTCAACTGAATGCTTTTTATTGGATGATGAACTGGTTCAAAGTTCTCCTGGATCATTTTGAGTTGTGTAGCTAGAAAACTGGTTAGTTACTACAATACATGATTATACTGGAGACTGTCTCTAAGGGTCACTCTGCTATGATGAAGATTACAGTTTTGATTGATTTCAATGTTTTGAGGAATTCTGTGACCCTCTTTGAATGATCAGTATGCTCCTACATCTGGCTACCCAGATATTTAGGGTCATTGCTCAGGATCCAATTAATTTGCATCTCAAGATATCCACTTGGATCAGTAGAAGAAATGGTGGATTTGTCTTTTAAGATATGTGGTTTTTCCAGTTCTCTTCATCCAGCCTTTTACCATTTCGTTGCTAATTGTATATTTATGGAGGAATTTTATTTAGATATTTGGCCTGAAGGGAATGTCTCCAAATATGTATCTGTGAATTAGCCATTGGGGGGAAAAGTACTACAGAAGGCATTAATTACCCTCGTATAATGAAATTCTATCTGGTGGAATAACAGCAGGAGTTCTTCCGAATAAGATGTGCACAGAGAACAAAAACAGGGAGGACAATAACTGTTTTAAGAACTAGTAGGTATCCTTCTAAAAAGTCCTATGAGGCCTTGTGAGAAGACATATTTTTTTATTTAGAACCTTGATTCTAGACACATATTGGGCTTACAACATGGATAAATGGCTCCAATTATTCCAATAAAAAAGGACACAAAAAGAAAACTAGCTCAAAATCATAGTTTGAAGGATGAATATCTATCTATAATCTAACTTACCACTTGATATGTAATGACATGACTTTCAAATATGTGTGTCTAACAACCATGAATTGAGATTATACCTGGATATTGATAGTAGGTGTTATTTGATTCCTTGGTCTATACCTGGGTGTGGGTGATTGACAGTCTGAGTGACAGTTTAATTTGGAATGCACATACAATTCAGTTACTACGTTCTGGACAGAAGATATTTTCTATACTTTGAATTCACTGACAACTATTTAAATGTTTAAGTACAAATATTTAATATCAAGACAGGATACATTTTTCTACAGTGGATACGCAAATTATAAGAAAAATGTTTTATTCTTCTATTTGTCATTGTTTATACATTATTTAATACCTAGATAGTCATCTGATATTCATTTAAAAACATGTTGCATTTACACTTGGCTCAAACTAAGGTATCAATTAAAGAATCACTTTTCTACTCTTATTGCAGATTGATACCTACACCTCAAAATGCATTGGTGGAAATCGATTTTCTGCTATGTGTCATGAAATTAATTCGAGAAATACAGCATAAGTCAAACATTTACTCCCCTGTGGAGAATGAAGTTCGGTTTTATAATGGCCATCAGCAAAATCCATGGTTTAAATTACAGATTAACAAAGAGCTCATGAGCTCAAAATTAAGTTATTCTGTTTAAAATCAATCACTGAGACTGTCATTCTGCTTATTGCTTTGACTTCCTAACAAAGGTTTAAATGAGGACTTTATGTGCAAGTAGAGAATGTCAAGAGACCTGCTCTTTTTCAGACCTGCATGAGCTGGGGAGGCAAAACGTTTAGGCTATTCATCTAATTAGAAGGAGGAATGTATTTTTCCAAAAAAAAAATCTTTACCAAAAAATCCCACAAATTCACAATTAATCTATTATCTGGAGGGAAAAAAATGGTAATGAATGAAAGGTGGGATACATTTAAGAAGCACTAAATTCATTGATACCAGAGCCAAATGCTAGGCAGGAAATCTGGAATTTATTCTTCTTTGTAGTGCCAAGCACCAGAATTGGGAAGTAGGGTTCAGAAAGAGTATTGCCTTTGCTAGTAAAGTGCAGTCAGACTCTGTTTTTAAGAAAGAGCATTTTTCCTCTGTCATTCGGCTTCATGTTGGTTCACGACTCCAGTCCTGAGCAGCTCGGCGATGGTCCTGTCATCGTATCTGAGGGCCTCTTTCAGGATGTGCTTCGTGTGCTGCCCAAGCAGGGGAGGTGGCCTGGCCTCTGACATCTTGAACTTACTGTATCTCACAGCTGGGCCTGTCGAAAGAGGTGGAAAGCAGGAAGCCTGTTAATGACTAACCCTAGGAAATGTATTACCCAAGCAGCCCGGGGTGTTTCCAGCGAATGCCAAGAATATCACTGCTCGTTACACCCTTGCAGATGCACCATCATTTTGGAAGGAAATGTATTTTCACATGTGGCTTTTCTTGACTCCATTTCATCCAACTGCACAGTCGTCATCGGATCTGCCTACCACTGTGCAGGGGACTGCATGTCCATGCCTGGTATGTGCTAAGCCTGTCCAGAAGCTGTCAGTCCTGTCACAGGAAATCTCAGGGGTAGGGTGCTCAACTGACTGGACACTCTGGGTCCAAGAGAACAACGACCAAGATATATAGTGTCCTTCTGAAACTCAAAATCTGATCCCAGGTGAGGATAGCCCAAATTTTCACTATTCACTGCCAACTGTACAGTTCCAAGATTTAGTTCAACAAACAGCAGATCAACTATAGAGCAGCCAGACCCTGGTTGAGCCCTTTTGATGGTAGAAGTTATATATGCAAGTTCCATTGTTAGGGAGACTTCAGTTTGAATGTTACCTCTTTTTTTAAATTTGTCTTTATTGTTGAAGGTATTACAGATGTCTCCCCACCACACCCCTGCACTGACCCACCATCCCGTGTCCACCCCCTCCACAGGTCTTTCCTGCACTATTATCTGTCCAAGGGCTATGCATATATGCGTATAAATTCTTTGGTTAATGTCTTTCTACCCTCCAATCCCCTTCCCTCTGAAATGTGTCAGACCATTGCATGCTTCAATGTCTCTGGATATTTTTTGTTTGTCAGTTTATTTTGTTCATTATAGTCCATATAAAAGTGAGATCATGAGACACTTGTCATTCTCTGACTGGCTTATTTTGCTCAGCATAATAATCTCCAGGTTCCTCCATGCTGTCTCAAAGGGTAGGAGATCCTTCCTAGATCCTTCTTTTATACAGCTGCATAGTATTCCATTGTGTAGATGTAGCACAGCTTTTTTTTTTTTTTATCTACTCATCTATTGATGGGCACTTGAGCTGTTTCCAGATCTTAGCTATTGTAAATAACGCTGCTATGAACATAGGGGTGCATATATTCTTTCTGATTGGTGTTTCAGGATTCTTAGGATATGTTCCTAGAAGTGGGATCACTGAGTCAAATGGTAGTTCCACTTTTAATTTTTTGAGGAAACTCCACACTGTTTTCTATTGTGGTTGTACCAGACTGCATTTCCACCAGCGGTGTACTAGGGTTTTTTTTTCCTCCACATCCTTGCCAGCACTTGCAGTTTATTGACTTATTAATGGTAGCCATTCTGACAGGTGTGAGGTGGTACCTCATTGTTGTTTTAATTTGCATCTCTCTGATAACTAGTGACATTGAGCATTTTTTCATGTGATTTCTAGCAGAGCCATCTTTTTTGTTTGTTTTTTCATATAATATATTTTTAAAAATTCTTTATTGTTAAAAGTATTACATATCTCCTTTTCCCCCATTGACTTCTCCCCAGCTGCCCCCCCAGCACATGCCCTCTCCCCACACCCCCCTCCCAGTCTGTGTCCATTGGTTATGCTCATATGCATGCATACAAGTCCTTTGGTTGATCTCTCACGCTCTCACCCCCCACCTTCCCTCATAGGTGGGACAGTCTTGCGATGCTTCAATGACTCTGGTTCTATTTTTGCTCATCAGTTTATGTTGTTCATTATATTCCACTAATGAGTGAGATTATGTGATATTTATCTTTCTCTGACTGGCTTATTTCACTTAGCATAATGCTCTCCAGTTCCATCCATGCTGTTGCAAATGGTAAAAATTCCTTCTTTTTTACAGCAGCGTAGTATTCCATTGTGTAGATGTACCACAGTTTTCTAATCCACTCATCTGCTAAGTTTGGAAACTTAGGCTGTTTCCAAATCTTAGCTATTGTAAATTGTGCTGCTATGAACATAGGGGTGCATAGATCCTTTCTGATTGGTGTTTCTGTCTTCTTAGGAAATATTCCTAGAAGTGGGATCACTGGGTCAAATGGGAGTTCCATTTTTAGTTTTTTGAGGAAACGCCATACTGTTTTCCACAGTGGCTGCACCAGTCTGCACTCCCACCAGCAGTTTAAGAGGGAGGTTCCTTTTTCTCCGCAGTCTCTCCAGCACTTGTCGTTCATTGATTTGTTGATGATAGCCATTCTAGCAGAGCCATCTTGAATAAATTAACTTCTCTGAGCCTCATGTTCCACAGCTCTAAATTGGGGATGGTGTCAACCACATAAACTTGACAACAGAAAGCACTAAGCAAATACTCCATAGGCCACAGTAATGCACAACATCCATTGGCTACTCTGATGGCAAAAGCTGCCACAGCATCAATCTTGAAGCTTGCAGTGCAAGGGGAAAAGACATATATCGCCAGCTATTCGCTGAACACTAAGCCACTATAAACAGGGTAGCTCAAGCAATACTTCCACCCAACTGCTGGGAATAGATTATCCCATTCTTCATTTATGGCCACTAAAGCCCCAAAAGCTAAGGGTTTACTTAAGGTCACATGACTAATATTATCAATAGTTCCAGGATGCAAATCCATGTGCATTTGAATTGTCTCCCATTGAACGTCCTAGCAGTCTTAGCCTTAGCAGTCTCTTTTTACTCTCCACTCTTTCTTTGAAAAGATGAACTGACATTGGGGAACAGATTTTATCTTTCCTGCCTCATTAAGTGAAGTGGTATGGATGTTGGCTTTCCTTTATATCATTTTATTAGCCTTCAGGAAAACAAACTAGTCACAAGAAGGCTGCAAAACAGTAATAAAAATTTTTTCAGCCTCCTTTTGATTTGGAATCTCATTTTAAAAAAGGAAATCCAATGCATGTTTAGGTAACAGAATGTCAGTCAGGAAAGCAGCAAATGTGCTTTGAGCTCTTTGTAGAATTCCATTAATAAAAAGTATTGCGGTAGAAACCATTGCAATAGAGTTAAAGGACAGAGACCATTAAGCCACACCTCTGTGTAACACATACCATCCACTACAGATAAATGGCAACTTTCAATTAATACCCAAAGTTTTCCTTCTCTGAAGCTCAGTGAAATCCATTTTTTTCTTCTCATATCTCCTTTTAAATGCCCCTGTGCATGACTGTTTTTCATGGGTTCGTTCCATTTCATTAAAGGAGCATGCATTGGCAGGCACGGTGTTCTACTCTCCTGATAAAACTGATAATCTGATGGTTTAGGGATGTGATCCTTACTCATTTTTTTTCTCAGATTCGGTTCTATTTTGACATTAATTATCAACAGTTTTCATCTAAAACTTGTCTTTCAAAAGAAGAACCCCACTGAGGTAGTACATGTCTGAAGTCAACGTGATGTGACTTTTTCTTAAATGAATTACCTGAAATGAGACTTCCAACTGAAATGAGACTTCCCACTGAGATGAGACTTCCAAATGAATTACCTGAAATGAGACGTCCCTGATGCTGAGGTCTTAAGTAGTTTAGGCAGCCTTTTCTCTACTATCTAATATCTATACTAAATCTATTGCATCAAAAATGTTTAGTGTCCACAGGAAGCAAATTAAATGAATGAAAAATTAATCTCTGTAACTCATAATTTTGGAGATAAATGCATTTCTTTAAAATAAATTCCATTCCATATTCTTGGCCTTAAACAAGAAAACTGCTATTGACTTAAGGGTAGACTTAGGATAGTTTTACATTGAAAAGAACCGTGGCCTATATGTCCCACAGAAGAGGCAGAGAAAGAAACTCGGGTTCTCTTTGACTGAGTCATAGCCACTTAGGGGTAAACAAAGGTGAGGTGATTTTCCTCTGCCTTAACAAAAGTGATCGGCCAGGTCAGTGTGGCTCAGTGGTTGAGTATCAACCCAGGAACCAAGAGGTCTTTGGTTCCATTCCAGGTCAGGGCACATGCCTGAGTGGTGGGCTTGTTCCCCATTGAGGGGCATGCAGGAGGTAGCCAATTGATGTGTCTCTCTCATCAATGTTTCAATCTATCTATCTCTTTCCCTCTCTGTCAAAAAATCAATAAAAACATATTTTTAAAAAGCAATCAAACTGAAAAACACTGAAATAAAGGCACAGCATAGCAATTTCCAGTACATCAACTGAAACCACAAGTGCTTCTGAGGGGCCTAGCTAATCTAATGATTGGTGGTTAAAGCCCTGGGTCTCCTTACACCCCTCACAAAAACAAAGGCGAATTATGGGATCCAAGATGGCAATGGAGTAGGTAGAAGTTACACTCATTTCCTTTCAGAACAAAACCAGAATTACAACCAAAACATAGAAATGTTAACCAGAATAACCAACTGAAGACTAGCTGAACAGAAGTCTTATAACCAAGAATTTATAGAAGATGCCATATAGAGACTGTAAAAAGGGTAGTGATGCAGGAAGGGCTGGCCCTGTACCCACATGTGACTCAGGAACTCCCTGAGGAGTGTGAGATCTTAACCCTACACCAGGTTCCCCAGCCCAGAACACCAGAGCTGGAAAGAGGGGCCTACATGACATAAGGCTTTAAAAATCAATGGGGATTATGTCTTTCTAGCGAGAGAAGGAAGTCTGCTAGAAACCCAGGCACCCTCTTAAAGGGCCACCACACAAAATCTTGTTTTCAGCCACTTACCCTGGGTTCTGGCAGAAGGAGGGTGGGTCAGCTCACAGAGAACTACAGTCTTGTGAGGAGAGATGGGGTTTGTGGCTCTGGGGCGAGAGTTGAAGGGATGGATAGCTGCCAGAGTCCCTGTGCTGAGTCCCTCTGCCATGCCACCAACAAATGCAATCTTTCTTGGGTCAAGCACTACCCTCCATACTATATCAGCCTTGGGGAATACATAGCCCCATCCTACCGACTCCCTGTCACCCTACCCTGCTGAGGCTGGACTCTCCAGGAGGTATTGAAAGAATATGGAATAGACTGAGTTGTGTGGTTCTAGAATGGTGCCATTTTTTCCTCACACACCAAATGGGTGCAGAGT